GTTTTCATCACCCATTAATCACGTGGCTTCCCACAGCCTGTCTGTCCATCCACACTCCCAGCTCCCTGCGCCCAGGCAGGGGGACAGACACACAGACAGGTGGACAGTCTCTGACTTGCAGAAGTTTCCGGCACACGGGGAAGAGGCGCACTTCCCGGCGCCTGAGAGGCCACCCCTGCCCCAGGCTGGCTGAAGCTGCCAGCCCGGCCCCTCACCCTGGCAGCAGGCAGTGGGGCTGGTCTCTGTCCCGCTCACCAGGAAGGAAATGGGTTGGAGGGCTGAGGAATTCTAATGAAGCTTCCCCAGCTGGCAGGCCGGCTGGCGAGTGAGAGCTGGCACCGCCACCCCCACGGTGGCTGGTGCCAGCCCTGCCCGGCCTGGCCTGCTTGATGCCCACCTGCTGCTGTGGGAACCCTAGTCTGCGGTTGTCATGCAAAGCCCCCAAAGATTCCCAGGCACCAGTGTTCTCGGCCCCTCGTGCCTCAAGCCAGTGTGATTTCTCTGCAGGAGGCAGGGGCTCCATGCTGCCTTGTGGAACCCATACATTCAAACATCATTGCACCCCCACTGCGGCTCTGGAGGCCTGGCACGGTCTGGCTGTGCCCTCATCCCTTGTGTGGCTTTGGTCTACTCACCTTTCTGGGCTTTGGTTTCTTTGACTATAAATGGGGTGATAATTCCAGTTCAGCCACGTCTCTGAGGGTTACCTCCCGTTATTACTAATTAGAATACCTCCCGCTTAAGGCTGCTGGGAGTAAAAGAGGATGTGCGGTTGGCTGCAGAGAGCACACGGTGCCCAGGAAGGCACTGGCACCCTCATCCCGGGATGGCTCTTCTCCCTTTCATGCCCGTGTCACCCTCCTGTCCACAGGCACCAGGACCTCCCTGCTGACCTGGCTCGAAGCTGCCTTCCAAACAGATTTGTCTTTTAAAACAGGGAACCAAGGGCTGGCGCTATGGCAGAGCAGGGTTAAACCACCACCTGCAGCACTGGCATCCCATATGGGCATCAGTTCCAGTCTCTGTTGCTCCATTTCCAGTCCAGCCCCTTGCTAAAGGCCTGGGAAGAGCAGTGGAAATGCTCAAGTCCCTGAGCTCCTGCACCCACGTGGGAGACCCGGAACAAGCTCCTGGCTTTGGCTTGGCTCAGTCCCAGCTGTTACAGCCATCTGGGGAGTGAACCAGTGGATGGAAGATCTCTCTTTTACTCTCTGTAACTCTACCTTTTGAAAGTAAATCTTAGGAATGAAACAAAAGAACCCAGGGGACTATGGACATATGAATGTCTCAAAGGCATGTGATTCTCCTGGGAATTACAGGCGCAGCTGTGGTTGAGTGGGGGAGAGTCTTGGGCAGGAGGACGGCTTTGGTTTTGGTGGTTGCCGGATGACCTCTGGTGGAGGGGCAGCTCTGGCCATGACCCTGGAACTTTCTCCCTCCCAACCCCGGACTTGGCCCCCTCCCCAAGTGTGCTGCCTGGGAGCTAGGTGCCTGTGGCCAGTGGGGCACAAGAGATGGAGGCGCTGGCAGTTTTTGGTGTCTGAGGGATTGAGGCTTGAAAACCAGCTCTATTATTTGCAGATAGGGTGACCTTGGCCTCTGTTTGTTCATCCACAAAATGGGATCAAAGCAGTGCTGGGTACTTGGTAGGTCTGTGGAGGAGTCATGTAGGCTGTGAATTTAACACGGTTAAAGTGCTTGCGCACAGTGTCTGCCAGAGAGGGAGCCATTCCATGGTGGCCAGCAGTGTTGGGGAGCCCCCAGATCCCCTAGTTCCTGCGGTGTGGCTACCTACTTGGGATCTGGGCTGAGGACGGGTGGCAGCACAGCACAGGGCTGGGAGTGGTGGTGGCGGGGAGGAGTGGCAGGTAGCCACCGTCTCCCTGCCCGTGGCCATCTCAGCCAGAACCAAGTCAGAGTGGGGACCTGCTGTGGTCTTCCCTCCCTGGTCCCACACCCTGTGTTCCTCCAGAACTGTGTACCCAGACTCCAGGAGTCCCCAGCCCTGGCTACACTGCAGCCCTACCCCGAGGCAGGCCTCTGTCTCTGGAGCCTCTTGTCTGCTTGTCTGCCCCGGTGGGTGGGAGCAGCCTCACAGAGGATCAGAGGACACTGATCCCCAAAAGGTTTCCACCAGCGCCAGAATGCCGTGCAGTGGCCAACTCCCAGCCGTCACCATGCAAGATCGCAGGATCTGCAGCAGGCCGGGGAGGCCCTCGGAGAGCAAAGCTTGCCAGAACCAAGGACTCTGAAGTCCTAGGACTCCTTCCCACAAATCTAGGACACACATCTGCATATCATCGCACCATGGTTTGCATACATTTGCATCTGAACCCACCCTCCCAACCCCCCCACTCTTCCTTTTTCCACAAGGAAGATGAAATCTTTAGCAAGCAGCTTCAAAGTGTAGTGGCAAAGCCCTCAGACCCAATTGCATCCATTTTGAGTGTGTTTGGAGGGCCTGAGGCTTGTCCTAGCCCATAGCAGGGGCCTGCAGGGAGATGGGAGCTGCGGGAAATAGAGTCCTTGCTCTCAGGGTGCTGTAGCCTCCCTGGGGAAATGCAGGGTGAAACCCAGGGTGAAAGCACCAGACAGGGTAGACTCAGGTGCACAGCAGGTGCATCTGGTGGGGGTGCTGAGCGCTCAGGGTTGGCTGGAGGGTCTTGGGAGTTGAAATCCTGGGGCCCAGCGCAGGGCTTGCACGTGCTGGGCACGGTGTTAGAGAGGGGTCTGCGACTTCAGTTTCTGGGGTCCTGTGGTCCTCTTCAGATCAGGCCCTACTAACGGTGGCCTTCCATTGTGCCACTGGTGTGCTCTCAGTCTCCACAGATTGGACCGAGCCTGGGCCAGAGCCAAAGGCAGTGTTTGGTGAGGCGGCTGGAAGTGGGGATTCTGAGCTAGCAGGAGGGGTGTCGCCACTCCAGGCCATGCCCATTCAAATGATGCAGGTGAAGGAAGAGGGGTGCAGGGCTGCTGGCAGGCTCAGGAGTCCACACAGGAAGAGGGCAGCCGGGGTATGACCGCCATGCAGCCTCTTGGGACAGGTTGGGCCGCACTGGGCTCTGGGCTCTGGGCTCTGGGCTCTGGGGCAGGAGTTAACAGTCAGGGGCTGCGGGGCTGGCTTGGAGGCCAGCTGCCCAGGTTCAAGACCCGACTCCACCTGCCGATGACCAGCTGTGTGACTTCAGGGAGGCCACGCTGTTCCTCAGCTGAGGTTTCCTCACTTGTGGAGTGAGCATAACAAGGTCACTGCCTGGGGCTGGCATTGTGGCGTAGTCGGTAAAGCTGCTGCCTGCAAGGCCTGCAACCCAAATGGATGCTGGTTCAAGTCCTGGCTGTTCCACTTCTGATCCTTATCCCTGCTAATGGCCTAGGAAAAGCAGTGGAAGATGGCAAAGATGATTGGGCCTCTGCTACCCATGTGGGAGACCTGGAAGAAGCTTCTGACTTGGCCTGGCTAGGCCTGGCTGTTGCAGCCATCTGGGGAGTGAACCAGCAGACAGATCTCTCTTTGTCTCTCCCTCTCTCTGTAACTCTGAGTTTCAAATAAATACATAAATATTCTTTAAAAATAATGACATCTACCTCGCAGGACCAGAGGACACTGATCCCCAAATGCACATGGACCTGGCAGCAGCGTCTATGTGCAGACTTGTGGGGACCCCAGGAGGAGGCCAGGCGAGGGCCACGTGGGTCAGCCTGGCTGGAGCAGGGGCTGCCCAGGGAGGAGAAGGGGCCGGGCTGGGCCGAGAGGCAGGTGTGGTAGATGCCCAGAGCTGCCCAGGGCCTGGCAGCCTCACCCCTCTGTACTGCTCCTGCGCAGATGCTGGGAATCAGCCATTCTGCTCCTCAGAGGGGCCCTGGGGCTAGGGGTGAGCCACATCCTTCAACTCTAGACCCCCAAATGCAGACGTTATGAGGCAGTGGGCTAAGCCCTTTGTGGGATACCTATCTCCCATATAAGAGTGCTCATTTGACTCCCAGCTCCCCATTTCCGACCCAGCTCCCTGCTAATGCACCTGGGACGCAGCAGGTAGGTGATGGCTCAAGTCTTTGGGTTCTTGCCAGCCATGTGGGGGACCCGGATGGAGTTCCTGGCTCCTGGCTTTGGTCTGGCCTGGTCCTGGATGTTGTGGGCATTTGAGGAGTGAACGGCGAATGGAAGATCTTTCCGTCCCTGTCCCTCTGCCTTTCAAATAAGCAAAAACAAATAAATAACCATTAAAAAAGATGCCAGCAGTCTTTAAGGCCCGCATGACAGGATGTTGTGTTGCCTATGGTGACACTTAAAAGCAGTGCCCTAGGACTGAGGTTTTCTTTCTCTGCTTTCCTTAAAAGGCAAGTGCAAGAAGGAAGGGCACTGGGTGTCTCCACATGATGTCTGCAAAGTGATCAGACCCCACTGCCAAGGCCGGAGGCCTGGGGGCAGCAGGGAGACTGGGGGTATGCGGGGAAGAGGACCAGGGTGCTGACGGGGCAGATGGAGGACAGGCTAGGTATGTGGAGACACATCAGAGGAGCCTGATTTAGGGAGACACAGCGTGCACAGGCAGATGCACCCCTGGGTGCATGTTCCTTCTCAGACCCTCAGACTGTCATCAAAGAGACCCAGAGAGCGGCGAGCCAGCCGGGAGTTTTCTGGAATTATTCTCCTATGAGAGACTGTACAGGAGTCTGGTGGGAGTACACTTGAGCTGGTTGAGTTTCCCTCCTAACTGGAGCTGAAAGAGGGACTTGGCATCAGCCCTCTGCTGCTCAGCTGTGGCGGGGGGAAGAGGGAATGGGCAGATGGGGTATAACTCACATCTGCTTCTACCTTGGGTTCCTATCCCAAGGCCCAGCCCTGGTCAGGGGCCCCCCGGAAGGGTGGTCTGAGCTGGTCTGGCTTGTGCAGGCTCAGTTGGAGGGACAGGGGCTTGCCTGTGCTTCGGGCCACCCCAGCTTGGTCGGGTCTCTCAGACTCTCTAGGAAGAATGCTCTGGGCCCTCTCTGTTCCACTCTTGACTTTGTTTTTCTTTCCTGGGCTCTCTCCCCCAGAACTCCTCCTGTGTGCATGAGCTGGCTCCTTTAGGGCTGGCCACACTGTGGAGGTCACCGCATCGAGTGCACACTGGAGGGATGGCCATCGCTGTGTCTACACCCGCGTAACCACCAGATAAAGACACGATCATTTCCAGTTCCACAGGTGCTCCCCAGTCAGGACCACTCCTGGAGGTGGCTGCTTGTCTGCCTTCTATCACTGTAGATTCGTTCTGCATACTCGACCTGCATACAAGCGCTATTGTATGTATCGTCTCTTTGTATCTGGCTTCTTTCACTCAACCTAAAGCCCAGGAGAGTCACCCACGCTGCTGTGTGGCAGATGCTTCTGTCGGGTTTGATCACTGTGTAGTGCTCTGTTATGCGGGTGTATGGCCATCAGGCAGCCATTCTACTGGGGATAGCTATTGGGCTGCTCCCGGTTGAGTACTGTGATTAAAGCATTCCTGGGCATGTGCTTTTGTTTCTCTCGGAAGTGTAGCTGGGGATGGAATCGCTGGGTGACTTGGACTTTCAAGAGGTCATTGTGCATCCTGATCACCAGCCAGACTTGGGGACATGACGGCGTTAGTGCCGTCCCAGGTGCAGCCTCTTGGGAAGGTCATACAGCTGTTTCACATGGCAAGGAGGGGGGACCTGGATGCCTCACCCTGGTGGGCTTGTACCTTTCAAAAGACTGGCAGTGCTGCAGAGGGAATGAGGGGGTCTTCTTCAAGGGCTGGAAGGGAGGTCGGGGAAGCACGGGACCTAGGGTGGCAAGGCAGGAGGGATGGGGTTGCCCAAGATGCACAGGCCAGCTGAGGCTCCCGGATGAGTGGCCTGTCCACTGTCACATTGGCCAAGTATGTGGCCAACAGGTATGTCAGTGCAGGTGAGCCTCTGCCAGCTCGCGCTGTCTCAGTCCCAGCCAGCTGCCCTCTCTTTGCAGGAGGCCCTGGGGGACAAGCAGCTACTCGGGTTGTGGACTTGCTGGTGCTCTGCCCTGAAGGCACCCTCCAGGTAACCTGTTCTCAAGCTCTGCTTCTGTGCTTGGCCACCAAGTTCTGGCCCAGTCGCCTACCAGGGAGACATACAGAGGCCTTAGACAGCCTGAATCATGGCCATGAGCTGGGGCAGTAGGGGTGGGGAGGGGGAAAAAGAGAGGGACAGTGCCAGCCCAGGGGGGCTGGTATTTCCCAAGACCCCATGCCAGGACCTGCTGGTGAGCCAGCCACAGGTCAGTGGAGGCAGCCCCTAGAGAACATTCCTGGAAAACACGCTGCCCTGAGTAGCACCCTCAGGCTTTCTTGGCCAGCCCAGTGTATTCAGCCTCAAGTTGGCAGGGCCTGGGATGCCTGGGAGCATCTGGTGAGGCCTCAGCAGGTCAGGGGAGGTGCAGCTTTGGCCTCCTGGCCATGGTCATGTCCATGGAAGATTCAGGATGGTGGGGTTCTCAACTAATACCAGGTGTGGCTCATGGTGTGAAGATACTAGGCTGTGGACTTAGGGGTTCTCTGACTTTGTTCCAGGCCGGGAGAGTGGCTGGGTGTGCGTGCATGCGTGTGTTTTGTGTTTGTGTCTGAGTCATGTGTGCGTGTGTGTGAGTTCTATTACTTAGCTATGCATGCATTCATTCTGCAAATATTTACTAATTGCCTATTGTGTGCCATGGGGGATTCCACAGTGAATAAAAGACCCTGCCCTCAAAGGAGCTCATTAGAGCAGAACATGTCTCTGTGGCGTGTGTATGCACCTGAAGGCATGTGTCTGCTGGAACACATGGCTGCCTCTGTGTGTGTGTATGTATGCGCGCGTGTGTGTGTTATGCCCGAGAACATATGTGTCTGAGCATGAGTGTGAAGGGGAGAGAATTACTCATCCACTCAGAAGAGTGATGAAGCAAGGCCTCTCCCAGAGCAGTTATACTTTCATAAATACAAATAATCAGATAATGAGTTCATTTCCGATCTCCAGTTTGATGCCAACATTCCAGTGAAACAAGACCCGCTGGCGGGCTGGCTGCGCTCTGTGTGGCTTGGATTAGCTGAAGAAAGCATAGGGGAGGGGTGGGACAAGGCTACGGGGGAGAGAGGGATGTGGGGGTGCCCTACAAACCAAGGAGCCGCTGCGTGTGCCTGGGGCAGAGAAGCCCCTCACCCTCACCCTCACCCACACGGCAGCAGACCCCCCAACAGCATGCATGCAGATGGCCTCAACTTGCTCCCGCCATGCCTGTGGGCCCAGCTACAGGCAGTCTATGCCGCGTTGTAAATGCAGATGGCCCCGAAGCAGGGGCCCGCACGCTGCTGTGACTCCCCGAAGGCCCAGCAAACGCCCTCTCCCTGGATGCTCGCACCAGTGCTGTGGATGCCGGCTGGGAGAGCAGGGAGCAGGACACAGAAAGAGGCTGTGGTCGGAGCCTCGAGAGGAGGCAGAGACCCAGACCACAGCCCCTGCTCTCGCTCTGCAGCCCGGGAGTCACGTAGCTGCCTCAGCCTGGCATTCCCAGCCTCGCACAATGACTCCCACAGCCCAGCCCAGTCCTCCTCATCCATGTCCTCTGTCCCTGCCTGCGCCTGCTTAGGCTGTCCCCTCTCCTTGGAAGGCTCTTCCTCCAACCCTGCATGTCCAAGTTTACGCATTCTTGAAGACGCAAGTGTCACCCCCTTGGGGAAGGCGTCCCTCGTCCTGCGAGCCGGGACTGCTGTCCCGCTCTCCTCAAGGACACGAGCACTGCCTCTTATCTGTCTCCTGTATTTCCTCCTGGACTCTAGGTGCCAAGAGGTCAGGATCTGGGCTTCCTGCAGCTGATTTTCCTGCACAAGTCCTGGCCAGCCTGGAGATAGGGGTGTTCCTGGAAGCTGGCCAGAGAGGTAAGCTGAGCTGGCTTTGCTAGCACACTGCTGGCCTGGCTTGCGGGAACCCTTGAAGGGTTGTGCGCTGAGATATGCCCCTGCTCTGCGTCTGGGAACCAGTGCCACACAGGAATGCCTTGGCAGTTGGAGGGGGGGGTGCTGAGAAAAGGGTGCTGGGGGAGGGGGAGAGGGAAATGGGAGGGGCTTTGTCCAGGAGGCAGCACTTGGACCCCACATGGGGGCACCTTTGAGATATCAGGGAATGACACTGGGATGAGGGGATGGTGAGGATGGTCACCGCAGGGGTAGAGGCTGTTCATCTGCGAGTAGGACAGCGTCCAGAGTCTGTCTGTCCGCCTGTCTGTCCGGCCGTCCACTATTTGCTCATGCACTCATGCATTCAACGAGCAGCACTGCGTGGCTCTGGGCCGACAAAGCCCCCGGGGAGCCTGACAGCCCTGATTTCGTCTGCTGCTCACAGCAGCTGTGTGGAGAGTGCACGATTATCCCAGAGGTGGAAGCCGAGCCTCAGAGACGCTGAAATCCACGTTCAGGGTCACGCGGCTGCCGAGGGCCCCAGCCGGGGTTTACACTCAGCTCGGGCTCGAGCTCTTCCCACGCCAGGGAGGACAAATGGTTTATTTCTCCCGCTCTCCATGGCTTCAGGCTGAGCTGGATCATGGCCCTCGGGCAGCATGATTAAGCCTTGTTCTTTGTCCGAGAAGTTCAGCCCGTGTCCCCACCCCGTGCCCCCACGGTAATTTTGCGATCAGCCAGCTGTCTGTGTCTTCCAAGATCCACACTGGCCAGGCGATGAGCAGGGGCAGGGTCCTAACCCAAAAGAGCAAAACGCCAATTGCTAGCAGAGAGGGGGGAGTTTTGCTGGGCAGGGGCCTTCTCCCTTTGCCAAGAGATGGGGCCGGCATGGAGGGAGGAGCTGAAAATGTTCTTAAAATCACCCCAGAGGTGGCGACTGGGCGTGGTGGAGGAGCAGCCGGCTGGGGGTTTGGAAGCCTGAGTGGTTAATAATCCAGGAAGGTTCCTGATGTGAGTGGCCAGAGGAACAGGAACTGACGCACACCAAGCGTTCCCCCGCTGCACCGAGGATCATGCCACTGCTGGTGCAGAGTTCTCACGCTGTTGCCTGCACCACGCTGAATCCTAAACTCCTTGGAGCCCTTTTGTCTTGCTTTGGTTTTCCCATGTGCTGGGCCAGGGGCCTTCTTGGTCTCCACCAGCAGGTGCTTTTGGTGACCCCCCCCCCCCTTCAGCCTCACCTCCCTGACTGTGACCTCCTGGGTCCCCACTGTATCATGCAGTGTATTTCCCCCTCACTCAGCTTTGGTGGCCTGCAGATTTGAGAGTCCTACTGTCCACACCCTCGTGCGAGTTCCTGGCACACAGCTGCAAGGGCTGGGCCCAAGGCCGTCTCCATGCGGCCGCCAGCCTTGGAGCCTCCCCGCCAGGAGGCACAAGTCGGTGAACCTGGACTGCTTAGGCCAGGCCTCCACCTCAAAGGGTGCTGCAAGAAGCTCGCTGGAATCCAGCCACAGGGGCTGTTCACTATCCTCCCTGGGCCTGCCAGCAGGACACCAAGCTGCTGGGATCAGAACCTGAACTCAGTGCTTAGTGTCCTTTACACAGAGACCCACAGTTCAGTGCGTGTCCAGAACCTCGACGGTAAGTTCACCAAAAGGTTTCTCTCTGCACCCCCTACTCCAAGACTCGGGCCTGCCTTGGGGTCCAGGCTACAGAGTGATAGTCTTGAGGCCAGGGGAACCCTCGTGCATACGTGTGACCCACTGCCAGCGGGGAGGGGAGCAGGCTGGAGGTTTGGGTCAGGGGTCCGTGTGATTGTCAGTAAACCCTGGAATGAAACTCCTCCCTTCCCTCTGGTGACAAGAGCCGGGCTGCAGCCTTGTGCTTCCCTGGTGGGCCGGGAACTTGAGCCTGCAGCTGGTGGGGCGCAAGGCGGGGAAGAGGACTCAGGCTGACAGGTTCTGGGCCTGGCTGGGAACGCGGAGCTGGAAATTTGATCGGGCGCTGAAGCGGCTCCAGAAGTTTCCCACATTTCTGCAGGGCTTTCTCATCGGAATGTGGGTTTCTTTGAGTAATCTCTCCCCCACACCCCCGGCTGAACCCGTCCCCCAGGCTGACAGGGCGGTGAAGGGACTGGCTGGGGCAGGAAGCGAGCTTTTGCTGTGCTCTTAGTGTTTCAGGACTGGACGTCTTCGTTATGCTCAGTTACAGGCAGGGAGAGTGGGGGAGCCCTGGCCGAGAGGAGGATGAGCCAGCCCCAGGACGCCAGGGTGCTCCGTAGGGCGGCTGAGGTCTGGGGTCAGCACTGCTGGCGTGTCTGGCTCTCAGGCATCTTTCCTGGGTTCACACTGAGCAGGAGGGCACCTGCCCTGCAGCCAGTCTCTTCCTCTCCTGGGCTCGGACGCCCTGACGTCGGCTCTCTCAAGGCCTAGGGGACAGAAGGGCCTGCCCCTGGCTCCTTACCTCTGCCTCCTAGCCACGGGCCTGCGGCCTCAGCCCTGCCCGCATCCCAGTTTAGGCCAGGAGCGTTGAGTGCTTAGCCAAACAAGCCCGCCCCCTTAGGAGGGGCAGGAAGCTGCTGCCATCATAGAAGCTTTTCTTGTTTTGTAAACACACACTTTTTTTTTTTTTTTTAAATGCTTATTTATTTATTTGAAAGGCAGAGTTATAGAGACAGGAGAGACACAGAGAAAGAGATGTTTTCCATCTGCTGGTTCACTCCCCAAATGGCCACAATGGATGGGGCTGGGCCAGGCCAAAGCCAGGAGCCAGAAACTTCATCTGGCCCTGCCATGTGGGTGCAGGGGTCCAAGGACTTGGGCCATCTCCCAGGCACATTAACAGGGAGCTGGATTGGAATTGGAGCAGCAGGGACTCAAACTAGCCCATATGGGATGCCGGCATCATAAGCAGTGACTTAACTTGCTATACCACAACACCAGTCCCCCACATTTTTAAAACAATTTTTATGGGGCCAGCCTTGTGGCGTAGTGGGTAAAGCCACTGCCTGTAACACCAGCATCCCATTTGGCTGCCGGTTCAAGTCCTGACTGATTCATTTCTGATCCAGGTCCCTGCTAAGGCACCTGGGAAAGCAGTAGAAGATGCCCAAGGGCTTGGGCCCCTGAACCCGCATGGGAGACCTGGAAGGAGCTCCTGGCTTCTGGCTTCAGGCCGTTGCAGCCATTTGGGGAGTGAACCAGTGGATGAAAGATCTGTCTCTCCTCTCTCTCTCTCTCTCTCTCTAACTCTGCCTTTCACATAAATAAATCTTTTTTAAAAAAACCAATATTTATTTTCATTTTATTTGAAAGGCAGAAAGAGAGAGGGAGAGAGAGATCAAATGCCCACAACAGTCAAGGCTGGGCTAGGTGGAAGCTAGGAGCCCAGGTCTCAATCCAGGTCTCCCATGTGGACAGCAGGGGCCCAACCATGCAAGCTGCTGTCCCCTGGGGTGCACATCAGCAGGAAGCTGGGATCAGAAGCAGAGCAGGACATGAACCCAGGCACCGAGATGTGATGGGGTGTCCCAATCAGCATCCTAATGGCTGCACCAAATGCCTGCCTCTGAAGTTTTGGTCTCAGAAAGGAGGCAGCCAAAGGGGGAAGAAGGAGACTGCATCAGGCTGAACTGGCCGCACCGCCAGGGCTCAGCATGGAGCCCCGGCAGCAGAACCTCCTTCCTACTCATGGTGCCCCCCCAGGAAAGTCGGGGGCCTGGGTGCCTGTCCTGTCTGTCCCAAGCTGTCTATGGACGAGAGACCTCTGCCAGGCTTCTCTGCCTTGTGGGCAACGTGCCTCACTCACCAAGCATCAGGGTGCCAGGTAATTTCCTATGGAAATAGCCACGTAGAGATGGACATTGCTTTGCAAATATCAGACTTGCTCCCAGACGCTCCCGCTCTCTCCACATCCTTCAGACAGATGCTCCAGCCCTCCGAGTGCAGGTTCTTCAGCTGAGAAATAGGACAGTGTCAACCCTAGGCACTTGGTGGGGGCCTGGGGTGGGGGTGGGGTGTGAGGAAGAGCCTGGCAGAGGCTGAACCTTCCTTGTCCTGTAAGAGCAGCTGTCGCAGAATCGTTCAGAGGCCACCCCGCCCTGGCCGAGCTGATGTGACCGTCTCAGCGCCCTGGCCACCTGCTTGTTCCCCTGGATCCCAGTGGTCTGGAGGGTTCCTGCCCAAGCCCTGTCCAGCCCACAGATCCCAGGGCAGTGCCTCCTTCATGGGGACAGCCTGCAGCAGGGCCAGATATTGCGCAGGGGCCGGGCAGCCTCCATCAGCGGCCTAACCCTTTCCTCTCACTGGCCCAGGAGGAGCAGGGGCGGAAGGGTGGGGTGGGGGGGACGCAGAAGAGGGACCAGGACTTCCTTCTTCCTGAGGCTCTGAGTACCCAGGAGGAGACAGTGAGGGCTGACCCGCAGGCTGGACCGGTCCACACCTGGGTGAGTGTGGCCCACACCAAGTGTTCACACCTGAACATCCTCCTTGGAAGGCCAGATCTCGCCTTTGTCTTGAAATACTCAGGTCCGGCCAGGCTAGAGAGAGCCCAGGAGAGCCTGTGACACAGAAGGCCCTGGGTCCTCCTCTTCCCTCCGCGGGGGCTGACACCAGCCCCTCAGGCTGCCCTGAGCTTCCGAGATTGCTGGGGGCTGCAAGCCCAGAGCCCCAAGGAAGGCAGGCTTCTGGGCAGGAGACACACAGTCACAGCCACACTTGAGTCCTGCGCCCCAGCCCTGGGGAGGGCGCCCTCACTTCCCAAACTTCCCAGGTGGCCACCCGCCATAGGGGTGAGGCCAGGGGCTCTCTGTGTCTCTTGCCTTGTCAAGACCCTGCCAACCTTGTCATTCACTGATTCACTCATTCATTCGTTCCTCACCCAATTGCTGAGTCCCAGCCAAGGCTCGAGGGCAGGCAAACCTCTTCCTCCTGTGTGACCACAGACAAGCTGTCTCACCTGCGGGACCCAAGGCAAGAGGT